CTCGAGTTTCTCACGCACGTTGCGGGCGCACCCTCCTAGTTGTTGCGTCCCTGCTAGTCCGGCCCCGGGTACAACATGCTAGGTCATGGCCTTGTGCGCCCTTCCCTCACTCCCAAGCATGGTCCAACCCTACTGGTGCTACTTGGTTGTGATTTGGGCTCGGACCTACGGTTGGTCGTGGGGGTGTTCCGACCTGCCTTCCATGCAAAGGCGGCCTCCCTCATCTCTGACGTCCCTTCCTCCCCTCGAGCCACGGTGACGGATCACATGGAGGTGACGAGGCTACAGTGCTAGTGACAGTCGCGGGGCTCCTTAGGGGGGGGTGCTTGCTGGCGCTGCTTCGGCCCCGACGACCATGGACCCGCGTCTCTCCGGTGCCCATGGCTGACGGCGTCCCCTGCCGGGCAGCTCCGGCCTCGGTGACCCAATACATGGGTCCCTTCTAGCTCGTCTGACTCACCGACGTCCCAACGGCTATGGCCACGGCAGTATGGATCAGCGTCCCTCTATTCCCTGCTTGACGGCGTTGTTAATCGTCGTCGCCCCACCCCCTCGTGGTTTGCTTTGCCGCTTGCCCTACCATGTACGACTCAAAGCCCCCCTTTTCGCCAGATCTAACGCTTGTGAGTCGGGAAGCCGTGCCACCCTCCGATAGCAGGTGCAGGCCCGCCAATCCCCCTTCCGACATGGTGGCTCCAACCAGTGTGGGCTTCCTCATCTCCGAATCCAGTTACGGCAGCTATGGGATTGCTTAGCCTCGGGCCAAGGAGAAATCCTTGCTCGGCTTATCGATGCTGGCAGCGGCGGCATATGCGAATGTCATTTTCCTTCTTGGAGGCATTGTCAAGGCCCTCATATGTGCCCCTCTTCGAGCTCAGGGGAAACCCTAGGTCTGGTTCCTCCGAACCGGATGGCGATGACGTCTCGGAGTTGACTTCCTTCTTGAAGGTGTATCTTGTTTACTCGCGGTGTCCTCGGTTTTGGCTTAAGCGAGGTTAGAATTCTTGCTGGTTCGGCATTGACGTTCTTGGTTCAGGCTTGGTAGGTTTAACTATGATGTATCCTCTGTTCGGCCTGAGCATCCCTTGTCTCTCTACTTCAGGTACCATGTTCACACCTGTGTGCGTTCATGTCATGTGTTGTACCTTTATTTGTACTCATTCTACTACTTCTATCATTGCAATGATACACAATTTCTGTGTATCCGCGAAAAACAGGGGTCAGTACTTTTGTACATGAAGAAATGTAGTATGGAAAAGGGATAGCCATGTCAAACCAAATTTTGATAGAACAAACAAACAATAAAAAACATCCATGGAAAAGAGGATTTTTTTTCAAGACAATCAAATTAAAACTAAAAGTAGACCTCACTCAAAAAATATTCAAATACCAAAAAAATCAAAATATTCTTGGAAATTTTATGGGCCTCACCTTGGCTACAAAATGCCCAAGAAAATTCAAGAAAAGATTTTGTAAAGCATTTTTACTGCAATTTTTATTGAAGTGCAGACATTAGACTTGAGCCTCAACTTTTAATAGGATTTCAGTTTTTTTTGCGAAATAATAGGATTTCAGTTATGTAACTAATACAATAATTTAATAGTATTAAATGAACTTTATTTTGTAACGACCATTGAGATTATTTTAAATATGTTTTTTCGTCTATTTGGATCTGCACATCCGTGCGGCTCGCCTTCTGCATCTACATTTACATCAAGGAAGAAGCGTTCTGACATCGATAGAACTATGGAAGGAACTAGGAAAAGGAAGATAGAGATTGCTGGCATTCTCCAAGAGATAGAAGAAATCAGTCGCTTTTTCTCAAACTTTTGCGCTTGATTATATTGGCTAGTAGCAGCAGGCGGAGATGTTTATGGCTAAATTGTATCCCTAATTTCCCCGATTAACTTAAATGAAAAGGCCGTTGATTCGAAAAGAAAAAAAGAAAAGAAAAGACTTCGCACGTCTGCTTCTTGTAACGAACACCTCCCACTTCCACATCGAACCTAAAATTCCCCAATCCCACACCTCCGTCCACCGTCCTACCGCTGCTGGACGCGCCGGCGGTTGGTCGTCGCCGGCGCGCGCTCGCACTCACCGTGGCTGCGGGAAGAAGCGAGCGAGACCACTCTGTCCAGTGTCTCCTCCGTCCGCCCTCCAACCAGGGCTTGGTCGTTGCCGCCAGCATTCACCGCTGCTGCAGAAACTAGACTGCGACAATGTCACGCTTTCAGGTCCGCTCTTTCTCTAGCTCCGTTTCCTCACGCGCCCACGAACTGCTGGACGAACTCCACGACCATCTGGGCTTCAGAACGCTCAGGCCAGAGCTCGCGCACCAACTGTTCGACGAAATGCTGCGCCAACCTGTCCCAGTATCAGCTCGTGCACTCAGCGGCTTATTTGCTGCACTTGCGCGTGCGCCGCCCTCACCTGCGTGCACCGATAGCCCTGCCCTCGCCATTGATCTGTTCAACCGCATGGCCCGAGCAGGCCGTCGCCAGGCGACAGCACCCACCATTTACACCTACAGCATACTAATGGAGTGTTGCCACCGAGCATGCCGCCCAGACCTAGGGCTTGCCTTCTTCGGCCGCCTGCTCAAGACAGGCATCAAGATGGATGGCATTACCTACAGCAGCTTGTTCAAGTGCCTCTGTGACATGAAGCGCACAGAGGAGGCTCTGAACGTGCTGTTCCATAAGATGCCCGACGACCTGCCTAATGTCATCTCATACTCAGTGATTCTCAAGAGCTTATGCGACAATGGGAGGAGCCAGCTTGCGCTTGATCTGCTCCAGATGATGGCCAAAAAAGGCGCTGACCACTCCCCCGACGTGATGTCATACAACATGGTAATTGATGGCTTCTTTAAGGAGGGTGAAGTAAGCAAAGCATGCGATCTATTCCAAGAAATGATACGACAGGGGATTGTGCCTACTGAGGTGACATATAGCTCCATTATCAATGCGCTAT